AATAATACTAATAAACGAAATTATAATATTCAACCAAAATATTTTACAACAAAAATAAATGATAATATAAATGATAAAACAATAAATGGACCAATAAATTGTTCACTTGATTCAGTTCTTAATCTTACTTTACAATTAGAACAAACAGCAACAGCTGATTATCAACGACGACATACTATTTCAACACATGAAATTGATCCATTATTATTAAATGGTTTAACTGATGATGAAAATAAATTAAATTTAATTGAAAAAATGAATGGAAATTCATCATCAATGATTATTGATGAAAATCAAACTACAAAAGATGAAATTTCATCAGAATTAGATCGAATACAAACTAATTCTTCAACGAATAATCAAGAAATGGAGTAAGTTAAATTGAATACATATTGACAGATAAACTCTCAATACTTGAATCTGATACAAAAACAAAAAAAATTGAACAGAACTCTTTTTCAATTGAAATTAGTTATTGTAATTTGTAATTAAGAAATTTATATTTAACATCTTTCTTTAGTTTTACACATCCGACTGATAATCTTTCAGCTATTATTAAGTTCGTTTCAAATCTTTGATAGATTTTCTCAACAGAGACAGATGAACTATTGTATTGAAGAAAATACATAAGAAATTAAAACTACTTTAATAGTTACGTATGAGGCAAAAGAAGACGACTGCTCACACTCAATATTAAGGAAATGTGTTAAATATGAATCTTCTGATGAGACAATCCAGATCGATGATTCTGGATTGTCGGATATATGAATTTCCGGTCGGAATCGGCTATATCTTATTCACCATGGGAACTAATTTCGATATTTCATTTGATTATATTTTAAACAAGTAAAAGGAATTCTGTTCAATTATTCATGTTAATGTGAATTTATTCAAATAAAACTATTTATTTCTTATGTCCAACTTATCTATCATTTAGATATGTTATGTATAAAGAAAAAATGAAACAAATAATATTATTAAAATATTCTTCAAATATAATGTTTTATTCGGATTTTTCAATACTTGTATCAACAATTCCATATTTTAATCAACAAATTATGCCATTTGATAATAATGGTGTACATCTTATTATATGTGTACATGGTTTAGATGGTAATTCAGGTGATTTACGTTTAGTTAAAACATATCTTGAATTATGTTTACCAACATGTCGATTGGATTTTCTTATGTCATCATCAAATCATTCATCAACATTTGATGATATTGATATTATGGTTAAACAACTTATTGATGAAATTGAAGCACATATTGAACGTTATGGACTTAAACCACAACGTATTAGTTTTGTTGGACATTCATTAGGAAATCTTGTTGTACGTGCTACTGTTAGTCATGCACGTTTTGAACGATATAGAACATTACTTTATACATATCTTTCATTATCTGGACCTCATTTAGGAACATTATTTAATTCAAGTGGTTTAGTTAATATGGGTTTGTTTTTATTTTTGATTAAAAAAAAAAAAAAGAGAAAGAAAATTTTCTTTTTTTTTTTAAGGAATGTGGTTAATGCAAAAATGGAAAAAATCCTGTAGTCTATCTCAAATGTCATTTAAAGATCATGTCGATCCTAAACAAACATATTTATATAAACTTAGTAAAAAACCTTGTAAGTTTAATAAAATGATTATTTATTTTTATTATTTATTTTTTCTTTGTAGGTTTAGAATATTTTAAAAATATTTTATTAATTGCTTCACCACAAGATCGTTATGTTCCATTTCATTCAGCTCGAATTGAAGTTTGCAAAGCAGCATTAAAAGACACTGTCTATGGTTTGTTTTTATTTAAGAAGAAAATATTAATAGACATAATTCTAGAGCAAAACAGAATTAAAGAGGGTAGGGTGTAAAAGTTCAATAACTCGACAACGATAACAGCTAGGGATCAGCGGACTAGGTGTTCGAGGACAAAGCTTTTTTTTATTCCAGTCCCGAGTATGGCTATAGTAAATCTAATTTTAGTTTTTCGAATTCAGGTATAGGGAAAATTATTCTAGAATATATTCGTATCACATCTAGAAAAATTGTTCTATAATGGAACACATGTCAAAATTAATTACATCGAAACGAAACAACATATTTTTGCGAAGATGATGGGCTCCTGAGTCATTTTGTCCATATAGTATCACACAAAAAGACATCCGAAGTTCTTCTTCTTTCGATTGGCGAAACCCGCTGGTTGCAAGCTGTTGCTATCGTCGAGTTATTGTGCTTACATTCATTCGTCTTTAATTTCCGTGCGAGCATTAGTTGATAGTTTCGAATTATATTAAACAAACTCTTGATTTACTAGTTGTACTGGCCATAATAGACTAGAGATAGAACCATCACTAGTTATTAGCCAGTTTGGTTCGGTCTGGATTTTAGACTAGTCATTCCATCTTATTTCTTTTCCCGCTTGAGTTATATAAACTTATTTAAAGCTCCTACTGATCTTTATAGTATGTCATATAGAACGTGTAATGAAATTTTGTTGAAAATTACCTCCGTCAAATGACATTATCCAAAGATCGAATCAGTGCGAATTTCATATCTCCGCTAGTTAGTAGATCGGTTTTATCTCTGTAATAGATAGAAGAACCTATCATAGTTTGTAATAGTACCGAAAGAAAATAGTATAAAATCTCATGTGATTCAAATCGGACAACAATCGCCGGTATATCGACAATTAATCGGCGGTAGTATACACAAACATGTAGCATGTGAAGTCTTTAACCTCATATAATTTTCTTTTTATTTGCTCTGTAATAGTTAAATAAAATATATCTTTTGTGCTCTTGTAGGTTCAATTTATGTTGAAATGATAAATAATTTACTTGAACCAATACTTCGTAATCCATCAATAACATTTGTTCGTTACAATGCATTTCATAATATTCCATCGAGTACTAACAATCTTATTGGTCGTGCAGCACATATAGCAATATTAGATTCAGAATTATTTGTTGAAAAACTTATCTTAGTTAGTGTTGCCAAATATTTTAAATAATATCTCATATAAATGTATTTAAAACTGAAAAAAGAAACCCAGGATCTAACTAATTGTTCGTATTTCCATATTTATCCGGTTTGATATCAATTATGTCTTTTTTTCTGCAATATTTTTTTTTGTTTGCTTGTTAGTGCTCTTCCAGAATTTATAAGACTCATCAATGTTTTCCTTTTTGTTTTCTTTTCTTTTGTTTTCTTTTCTTTTCTTTCTTGTCTTTGATCAGATATTATCTATACATACGAACAAAAGCATGCAATGAAAAAAAAAAATATTGTTCTTGCAAACAGTTGTACATATTCACATTTAATATATATATATATATATATATACACATATAAATATAAACTTAGTAGTCACTTAACTTTACGTATTTTTCAGATATTTACATTCAATCGAAAAATAAAATACAATGCCATTAGCTAAAGATCTCCTTCATCCATCAATTGAAGAAGAACGTCGAAAACACAAGAAGAAACGACTTGTTCAAAGTCCAAATTCATTTTTTATGGATGTTAAATGCCCAGGTTGTTACAAAATTACAACAGGTAAAATAAATCAAAAAAAAAATTTGTTTTTTTACATAAAACTAAATAATTTGTTTTATTTTTTTTATTTTATAGTCTTCAGTCATGCACAAACTGTTGTTTTGTGTGTTGGCTGTAATTATGTACTTTGTTCACCATCGGGCGGTAAAGCACGTCTTACAGAAGGTTGTTCATTCCGTAAGAAACGTGATACACCATTAGCACGTAAAGATGATGCCGAACGAAATTAAACGATATTGAATTTAAAACCAACAATGAAACATCAATAAAATCGTTTTAATTTTTTTTGCTTTGTATTCATCTTTCATCATGTGTTATTAAAGGAGAAAGAAGAATAAGAAAAATAAAATAAATAAACATCATTAAAAAATAAATCTAACAAATTTTGTTCAATCAAGAAGAGAAAGAAAAATAGTCGAATTGCGATTTGTCTTGTATCTTAAAAAAGGTTTATGAATTGATAAATTAGACTTGCCAAATCTTCTGCTTTTTTTTTAGAGTTTTGTCAGGTTCGATTTTAACGGTAATTTGAATTGACACAAAAAAAAAACGTAGAAGAAAACAGAGAACTGTTATAGTTTGAGGTAATAATTTTTTAGTTCATCGTCTTGATAATGGAAAATGCGTTTAATTCATAAACATGAACTCCGATATCTGTTCTGTGCTTGTTTCGAACATTTATTGCAAGTCAAATTTCAGTCATAAAGATATCGAACGTGAAATCACTTTGTCGGTGCCGAAACGATAATTTAAATGAACTGGTTTTTTCCAGTTTTACAAAGTTTTATAATTACTTCCTAAATGATCAAGAATTGTCAAAGTGAATTTTTCTCACCAGAAAAAAAAGCATGTCATGCTGTCAATATCATGAAGACAGTCTTCTAAATAATTTCCTTTCCATTTTCGATTTATTTTTGTCATACCTTTATAAAATGCTTACCAAAAATTGGTTTAAATTCGAAGTAAGAAACACTCTGAAAACTCATGAAATCGCTCAGTTTTGTAGTTTTTAGTGTTTCTTCGATCGGTTTTTTTGACTGCTTTGGTGGTCAAAACCATGGACTCGGTATTGTATTGTGATTGAAATAGATAGATTTATTCGAGATTTTTGTTTCAAAATTTTCAGATATAGATCTGAATACGTGTTTCTATTTTCTTTATTTCCCGTATGAGATGATTATTCTCTTTACTCACTTGATAACGACAAGTCACAGAAATTTGTAACAGTGACCACTTTGGTTTTCTAAGTTTCGACAAGCGTTTGGTTTTTCTTCGGATTTTATTGGAAAATCTTCTGATTTCTAAAATTTGGATTTGACGACTCTGTTACTAATAGAAGTTTGTCAATATCATACAAGCTGATATTTGGCGCGTAAGAAAATTTAAAAGAAATATCATTTTTTTTTTTATATCATCAATTATTGTCTTTTGTTTTGTTTAATGTCAAGTATTATTACTGTTTTTATTTTGTTTCTTTACTACTTAAAATTATCAATCAGTATTACCGTTGCCAATAAACCTTTTTCTCTGAAAAATCATCAATCTATTTCGACAACATCTTATCCACTAGTTCTTCAAATTCCATCACCACCAACATTTTCACAAACTTCTACACGATCTACAATTGTTCATTCGAATCATGAACAATATGGAAATGAAGATGAAAATTTACAAACAAAACTTGAAAAATTGAATTATTCGGAACATAAGTCATTACTTGCTTTAATTTTGCCTATACGTACGAAGGTTAAACCTTTTGTATTTAACATCAATCAATCACCTCTCCTTTTACTGATTTCATCAGTTGATTTGAGTTAGAAAATTTTTTTCTTTATTTAAATAAATAAAAATGAATTTAAATAGTAAGTTTTTCTAAGATACAAATGTTCTCTCAATTTGTTGCCTTGAGACAATAGATTCAAAATGTATTTTTTAAGCAGAATAATTTCATCGAATACTTGTAATTTAGAGACTCTACAAGATTACTTTTCGGCAATATCTATCTAACTGATGTGTAACCTAGTGAAAAATAAAGTTCAATACTTTTATGAAAAAGACTTTTGCTATTAGCAGCTTGCATAAAATGTATTCAAATAGGTACAACTATTTCCATTAACTGAACGAAGGAGAAATAGAACGAAAATTTGACTTAAATTTATGATTTTGTTTGAGTTATGACAATATCTTGAAATTAAATACAATTAAAATATTTGGACTTGAAAGGATATTTCCTTTTTCCACACGAATTAAAGAAATATGTACTTAAGGTTTGCCAAAGTTGGTGACTCTAGCATTCTAGGTACCTTACAGAAAATTTGAGGAAAATTTCTCTCTCTATATCTATACACACTGATAGTTCCAGCAGTACTCTATAATTCTACAATATATATATATTATCATTCTTCAATTGATTTCATAATATTGAGAGTACAGTAACAGTAACGGTGACTCGCTGAGAAAAAAAAAGTCCGGTTTTTACCCTAGTGAATGCACTGAGCTTAGGATACCCCACTAGCAGTATGTAACAGTACCTTGTGAGCTTTTGTACCACTTACGTATAAAATGCTTCTAAATGTTCAATCTACTAACGTGTTGAAAAAATTTGCATAGGATGACATAGAAAAGAGGTGTAGGTACTGAGACAATTCTCAACAGGGTATCCAATCAAAAACCTGTGACATACTGGTAACAAGGTATTCGACAAGGTATCCTACTGACAACCGACTCAGCACACGGGTATCTTGAACTCAGTTCATTCACTGAGGTATTTCATTATATGTTTAAGGGAGACATGTTAATTATTTACATATAATTGCAAAGGTTGTCTTCATTTGTCGAAAGTGTTCGTTTTTTAAAATGTCCATCGTCCCACGTCATCAAAATCACGTAAAATTTGATAATTAATCGTAACATTTCGCAAATAACGACATAAGAATCATCTAAGGTGTACCAAACGTAAAAATGAAGCAAAAATAAAAATTATTTTGATTTATATATGGTTTGATAGAGTTTTTCGAGACGAATCTGAATATGTATTTTTTTATTGTATTTTGAGATCAAATTTTGGGTCTAAAACCTTGAAAATACTGAAAAAAGTGCAAAAATGCTCTGTTTTAGAGAAAATCCGAAATTTCACCTCTTTTCACTCAATGTAGGTTTCCAAAACTACTTTATTCGGTTTCAGCATGTTGAAATGAGTATTGAAAGGTAAGGTTGGACGGCTTCGAAGACATTTCAAAGCAACTATCGTTTCTTAACAGTTCAATTATGGCGCAAAATTTACATGGCGACACCTTTATCTTGTAAACCTATGTAGTCTTTTGTTTCAAATCATTATCTCAGTTTTAATACATCAATCGAATCTTCATGAGATGGCAAAGAAAATTAGATATCAGCTTGAAAAAATTTTGTTTCTTGATTGAGATATCTCACTTTTCTTACAGAGACGATGAAATAGCTAACTTGCTATCCCTAAATCACAATTTTTTGCACGAAAACTTAGCTTTTGTACAATATAATTATCATATTCGGAATCAGCATGAAAAACTGAGTCAAATGAGGTGCATTTCAACCGTTTTGCTTGATTTTAATTTTTTGACAAAATTCTAGAGAAGGTTTTCACTGAAAATTTGAAAAAAATAAAAGTGCTCGGAAATCGTTGATTCATCGCACATTCAACTCAATTTTTTACGTTGATTCCGAATATGATGGTTATATTGCACAAAAACTAAGTTTTGGTACAAAAAATTACGATTTAGGGATAGCAAGCTAACTATTTCATCATCTCTGTAGGAAAAATGCGATATCTCAATAAAGAAACACAATTTCTTCAAGCTGATATCTAATTTTCTTCACCATCTCATGAGGATTCGATTGATGTATTAAGACTGAGATAATGATTTGAAACAAAAGACTACATAGATTTACAAGATAAGAGTGTCACCATGTAAATTTTGCGCCATAAGTGAACTGTTAAGAAACGATAGTTGCTTTGAAATGTTGTCAAGGCCATCCAACCTTACATTTTAATGCTCATTTCAACATGCTGAATCCAAATAAAGTTGTTTTGGAAATCTACATTGAGTGAAAAGAGGTAAAATTTCGAATTTTCTCTAAAACAGAGCATTTTTGCGGTTTTTTCAAGGTTTTAGACCCAAAACTTGATCTCAAAACACAATAAAAAATACATACTCAGATTCGTCTCGAAAAACTCTATCAAACCATATATAAATCAAAATAATTTTTATTTTTGCTTCATTTTTACGTTTGGTATACCTTACATAAAAATTATTCGTATACTTTTTATTTCTGTGTATGATTCATCTTATTTTAATACAGAATCTATTTTACAACTTAGATGGTAAGCATATTATTTTAAGAACTAAATTGTTCTTACAGTTTCATCAGTAAGTCTTATTTCATAAGATACATTATTTTTTTTTTTTATCTAGATTAATCACAACGATAGATTCATAAGTATCAAATTATAAAATAAATTATACTCTTTCATGTATAGAATAATTGCAACATCAATTTCATCAGTAAATATGACTTCATAATATGAATTATAAATTTTTTTTATTTAGATTAATATCAATTATAAATTTATCGGTAAGCATAATTGAAATAAAAAATTACTTAGGGCATACTAAAAGTAGTGTCGTCATGATCTTATTTCGATATAGAAACCTTGAAGAAGTTTTCTTTTTTTATGTAATGATAGAGAAAGCGATGCTCTGTTTTTCTATGCTATTGGATCATTATTGAACTAATATCGTAATAATAAAATTACGATAAGAACCTTTTTTTTTGTAAAATGTGATGGTTGTACTAATGCTATTTGAAAAAAAGGCCGAGTGAGCATTCTTTGAATAACTTTTCATAGGAAGAAGTTAGAGACCTGCGGTTTTCAGTGTTCGAAAGAAGAGATGAAGATACGTCGAATTATATGCTTCAAATTTTTTCGGTCTGATCTTTTTTAAGGTTTTCGATCGACTTCTTTGAAAAGAAATCTACTTCACGAGGTGTATACAACAAATTTTTAATTGTCAGATATGTATTGAAATTAATTTATCAGAAGTCATAGGTATCCTAGTTGAAGTTGTAAGTGGTTTTTCTAGCAACTTCTGTGAAAAAATGTGTTTTTGCTGTTTGCTGTTTAATAAAAAACCATTTTTTTGACACTTCGAAAATTGATTAAACAAATATCAGATAACATATTTGGAAAACCCATAATATACGATTTGGTGCATCTTCATCTCTTCTTTCGAATAGTGAAAACCGCAGCTCTCTAACTTCTTCCTATGAATAGTTATTCAAAAAATCTTCACACGGCCTTTTTTTTCAAATAGCATTAGTACAACTGTCACATTTTACAAAAAAAAGGTTCTTATCATAATTTTATTATTATGATATCAGTTCAATAATGATCCAATAGCATAGAAAAATAGAACATCGTTTTCTCTATCATCACAAAAAAAAAAGAAAATTTCTTCAAGCTTTCTATATGGAAATAAGATAATGACGACATTACTTCGGATATGCCCTAAGTATATTTTTATATGTACGGGGGAGGGCGAAAGAAAAATTCATCCGTCTAGCTTATGAGAAACTCATGAGAATACAACAAGAAACGACATCATATACGACAGTTTATAATAGTCATAATTCTTGTGCTAGATTTCGAAAGAAATCCTTACAAGATCACTATTACGATCTATCAGAGATTCTTTTATAGAAAACTGACCAAAGTTACTCATCCATCAATTTTTAAAAAATTGTAGGTTAATCCGGGTTTAATGGTATGAGTTTGTTCAACAAGTTCCTGAACTTGATCATACCATAATGCAACGATTCGAAATTATTTTGATCGCTTAGGTTTTTCTAGATTTGATTAAATGGTATCAGATCCAGATTATTATATTGATACTTTCAGATGCAAGATAATCGAATACATCTTTATGAATATGTGATTTTTCACTATTATAGTAAAGTTTAGTTGCATGAGCATCAAAGAAGATCTTTTGTTCCTGATTGTGCTGATAACGAGCTGTAAACAGATACTAATGTAATAATCATGATCAACAGTTTGTCCTCGCTCAAAATGATGGATTAAGATTGAACCAGTTGACTTAGAGAAAATATAAAGCAAGGTACTTGAAGCGAAACAACTTTATCAAACTATTTCTAGTGAAGGGTCGTCGCTTTCTATTCAGACAGTATTCGATGGTTTTCAAGCAATTTGTTTATAATAAAGCTATGACTGATGATCTATCACCGCAATTTTCACTAATTGTGTTTTTTGCATTGTCGGATGCACTTAGGCTATTGAGCATCAGTCAGTTATTTGGGTATATTGTGGACGGTGATTTTTTTCAGCTACAAATTATCAGAACTAATTCACTGAATAGTTCCATAGCTAGAATCATTTTACACTTGCGCTTATCAATTTTCACGTGGGATCATCATCAATAAAGCCAGGAGGTTTGTTCGATATGTTTAGGTGTTGCCTCAAGTGTAGATCTGTCAAGTCATACATCATCTTCAATCTCATTCCCGCCTTGAAGACATCATATTAACATCATTGAATTATCTCGAGAGATTAAGCCTGATCGTCAAAGACAAAGTATATTTCACTATGAATAAGTGTTCGTTAAAAATGAGAACAGCGAGCCATTAAAGTAAAATATATTTGAAATCTTATTGGATCTAACAGTTGTTTGAAAACATCTAACAACGGGACATCCTTAACTGTCGGGGCGCCGTTCAACATGATACTATGGGTACGAGTAAATTTCTGTGAGACTAAGAAGAGCCTACAAGACTTCCGGCCTATGGCCTACTAGTGAACAGTCTGAAGTAGTGATATGAATCATTTTGCCTTTCTTTCTATTTGTGATATATGTGTGTCATCCTATCTGTCATATACATATGTCACTTTCTCTTTCTATTCTCCAGCTAGATATTTTCCATTGTAAGCGCTCACAGAGTTTTTTTTATATGCTGTACGGATATTTCTAACATAGCGTGTTATTCATCATCCTGTATATATATATAGCTGTGATCTTACTGTAATAAAGAAGATACAGAGTGGTAGCATACAATCATCTTTAGTCAATAGCTTATTGGAATCGAAAAGATACAATATCACAAGAGTTATGACTGTTTTATTGAATTTTTTAGTCAGAGCAAGATATTTCTGAAAACATCAAAATGAAGAATTTGATCCTGAAATGTTGCCAATAGATACAGCTTATAATTATTAAAATGGTCCGAAAATTTCTCAATTTCCAAAACAAACAACATCTTACCACTGAAGAACACAATAATGAAATCCACTCAAAAGTTGAGTATCTCGAGAATGAGATGTTCATTTTTTTTTTGAAACTTTCAGAATTTTTTAATGATTATAAGCTGTATCTATAAGCAATATTGTAAAATAAAATTCTTCATTTTGATATTATTCGAAATGCCTTACCGTGATTAAAAAATAAAGTAGAACAACTATAACTCTTCAATAGTACGCCACAGATCCGAACTTCTCGAGCCTTTTTTTAGTCTCCTAGAGGTCTATTCATAGTCATAATTTCAGGTTAAACGACGCCCGAAACAGAAACTGGAAGCGAATCAATGAAACTTGGTTTGCTTTCACCCTCTAGTCTAAACGTTGCAGATGTTGTATCTCGTAAAAGTTAGTTATGAATGATATTAGATACCTAGATTTCGTTCATTGATCATTCTTTTATTAATAAACACTCTATTAAAAAAAACAGATCTCATGTTAGCGCGTCGAAATTTCCTACGGAATCTAACATATGTGTTGGTTATTGTATAAAAGTTTTACTCCACGACAGATTATTGTATGATAAATGTCGTTGAGTAAATAATATATTTTTATTATCAAAATATATTTAAAAGACAAAAATCAAAACGTCGATTGTTATCAATTCGATCTCAAAATTAGATCATTTATAAAAGCTTCTATCAATTTTAAGCACTATGAACAATGTGTATCGCACAAAGTAGATGTCAGTTAATGCCAAACATACATACGCTGATGATGATTCACAACTAAATAGTATTGGTTACAAATAAATTTATTTAGTTGACACAAAAAAAAGGTCTTTTTTTTTCGGCATCCTTGTTAGAAAAAATTGTATGAATGCAAAAATAATCTTTATTTATGGGTTCTCTTGTTTTTTTTTGTTTTAAATATCATATTCATTTTAGATTCAAACTATTTCAATTCGAATATTAACTGTGAATATTAAAATGAATCTATAAAATTTTGATTTCATTTTTGAAATCAAACATATTAATCATCATGTACAGTGGAATACCTCGAGCCGTAGCTGATCTCTGGTAGAAAATTTTTATTTAATTTATTTATTTTTTTATTCAATTATTTTCTGTTTTTTTTTTTTTTTTTTTTCTTTATAATATTTAGTGAGAACGATGATCTTGCAACAATGATCATTGTTGATAGTATGTTTGGATTTACAACACATAAAATGAATGTTCGTTTTCGACCAAATCGTCGTTTATCTCCACAATGGAAATTAGCTGTAAAAAGATTTCAACAACATATTGATTATGAACAATGTTTTACTGAATTAACTTCAATTGGAAATTGGTATGATCATTTACTTGCACGTAAAAGTTCAGCACAATTAACTGCATTAAAAGAACATGTAAGTAATAAAAAAAAAAAGAAACACAAAACAAATATTTAAAGAAAAAATAATTTAGATGTTTCGTTTTTTACATTTGTTCAATAAAAATTCCGGTGTTACACTTGAACCATGTCATCGTTATTCAACAGAAAGTTTTGGAGGAAAAGTAGTAGCTACAAAAGAATGGTAAGATAGATTGTTTGTATAAAAACAAAAATTTTCACACCTTGTTTTACGGGTTATTCATTTACCTTTGAAAGAAATAATAAAAGAAAAAGCAAGAGCATCATATTTTTATAGACAATATAGAATTTATTATGATATTAATATTTGAGACTAAAGTTTTTCTGTTTGATTCAGTATTTAAAATTGGAATTATATTAAAAATAATTAGTTTTCATAAAATTTCATTACAAAAAGAAAAATACACAAGGAATAGATAGTTGAAGAATGTCAGTTTGTTTTGATTTAAGTAATATCTAATTATTACAATGAATATATTGATCAACCACTTTTCTTTGATATTGAGAACATATCATCGTTCACGTTTTTCTCGATGGTCAACGAAATATATGAATAGAGAATTCTCGTGAGTATCTTTGTTTCACACTTTATAGGACTAATTAACCTCACGATTTTGATTCAATAATGTAATATGAATAGATAATAGTTACTTTAAAGCAAACAAGATGATATAGCTTAATTTTTATACATTAAAACCTCTCTATGTGATTACCTTCTCATTCTAAGCAGTAGGCACTTGTTTTTTAGTCCCATCAACAATAACAACCTCTGTAATGTGAGCAACGTATGTTCTATTACTCAAGCGCAGGATGAGAAAAAACAACTGATATTCTGTGTAATGAGTTAAAATAAATAATCATAGGATGCGTATAAAAATGGAATGAACTAATCGTGAAAATTAAAAAAGAAAAAAAACACCAATCTTCGACAAAAGCAATAGCGCTTGGTATAATATCGAATCATGTGAATACGTGCTGATTTATTTCTGATTAAAAAAAGTTGAATTAATATAATTGTTGGAAAGAAGAGAAAAATCATCTTGTGCAACACGAAAAACAATTGCAATTGAATATTTATAACGAGTACAGCAAAATAAATGATTCTCTTAGTATTTTTTCAAAAGATTCAGCTTTTGATTCTTGACAAAATCCGTATATTTTTTTTTTTCATGATCAAATACTTCCTAGTCTTCTGATATGTCACATCAAAAAGTACGACTTTCTTTTCGCAAAAGTTTTAGTATCACAAGTATTAATTGTTCAAGCGATGTTATTTTCTTGGCTGTAATCTGTTCTTGTTTATTATTGGCAAATTTTCATTGATATTAATTTAATCTAATTAATATGTGATGCAAAAGTCTTTACAAAAATGTCAAGTTATGTTATACCATATTCCTGATTTCTAAATCAATCAAACATTTTTGTTTTTTGTTATAAAGAGCAAATTTTGTATCAGGCATATTTTTCTAGAACGAATCTGACGAAGCAGAAAAACCTCCAAAAAAAAAGTTCTTGCAACTTCACTATCGAGCAACAGAATTTTTTATTTAAATTAGAAGGGAAATGAAAAAACATATTTAATGCTAATTTTTGTAGTGTAAAGAGTATTCTTTTCAATGGTGCACCGGAAGTTAAATTTACTCTTGATTTTTTTACAAAAATACAACTTTATCTAAAAAAAAGACTAAGTAATTTGGTTGTTCTTACTATCTGACCATTTTGTAACGGTAAAAAAAGTTTTCTCTGCTAAATTCCTATGACCTGAAAGATTTCGAATAACTAACACAAAAAATAATTCAGTTCATGCATAATTTCTAAAGATGATAACTGATATTTTTGCAAATTGATATTTCTCGGAATAGGCTGTATTCCACAAAAATTTTCTAAAAACGAGAGTTTTTGATATATTTTTGTTTCGGTTTGGTTCATTTATATAGCTGAAAATAATTTAGAAATATAGACTTTTCAAAGGTGTTTGGTTTTGGATTTTTGCTTCTCATCAGGTTTGTTTCGAAAAAATATATTTAGTGCAAAATTTGTACTTCAGGCATTGTTCTTCCTAGCAAAAAAAAAATGTTTGATTGGTTTAGAAGTTGGGAATATGGTACAACAGAGTTTGACATTTTTGCAAAGACTTTTGCATCGCATATTAATTAATATATTGGTTATTCAAAGACTAACGAGTGTCCTATGAGTTTTGGATCTCAACGAAAATTAGTTTATATATAAACGAAGGGTGATCCCTACTCAACTGTATCTATATGAACTTTGAGTACTTCAGATAATCTTTTAAATGATATTATCTCTTTTAGTAATAAGGATATAAACAGAAGAAACTTGATTGTATGGATGCGCATCCTTAATAGAGTCACTCTATGACATCTAGAATATTTTCAACATTTTTTTGGTTCGGTCAAATTAATAAATACTCATCCATACCTCACTTGTATGCCAATTTGTGGTTATTCATTTGATTGTTAAAATTTTCAGTTAAATCATCCAATACTTGTAAAATCAAAAGACTCCAACATAATAACACAAACTTACATACGATCGTTTAACTCAATGATGGTGTAATGAAGGTTTTGCGTCCTATGTCGATAAGAATCCTTAGTCTTCGAATAATCAATGCACTAATCAACTAGATTATTCAATATCAATGAAAGTTTGCTAGTAACAAATGAGAATAGATTACAGTCGAAAATAACATCACTTGAACAATCAATATTTTTAATAACAAAACTTTTTCGAAAAGACAAAACTAGAAATGAGTACTTTTTGATATTGTATGTTACAACACAAGGAAACAATTGTGTATTAATAAAGATATAAAATTTTTCAGAGAATTATTCTGTCGCATACGTTAGGTTGCAAAAAAGAAACTGAAAACCTCCCAATAATGAACACCTTCGCAGAGTGAACACTTTTGACTGGTTCCCATAATGCTCATATCGAACAACAACCGAAAAAAAAAACTGAAAGTCTAAAATTATTATATAAAATATGAAGTTTTTTGTTTTCTTTTATTGTAAACAGTTGTATAATTGATAATAAATTAATAATATTTTAGGGCTGTTAATGATAAAATTGAAATGTTAATTGGATGTATTGCTGAATTAAGTCCTGAAGAAGAACAAGCTTTTCTGAAACCAGGTATTAACGATTTTTCAGTTATGTATTCATGTCGTAAAAAATGTTCTCAATTATGGCTTGGACCTGCTGGTATTTAAATAATAAATTATTTTTTTAAGATAATCTTTTTTTTTCTCTTTTCATTTAGCTTATATTAATCATGATTGTCGTGCTAATTGCAAAGTAATTTAGTTCGTGAGATATATATTAAAAAAAAATTATAGTATGTTTTGTTCTAGTTTGTAGCTACAGGTTTAAGTTCAGCTTATATTCATGTACTTCGTCCAATTGAAATTGGTGATGAAATAACTTGTTGTTATGGATCGGATTTTTTTGGTGATAATAATTCACTTTGTGAATGTCATAGCTGTGAAATGTAATTTTTTTTTTTGAGTCTTAATTTTGTATGATGAATATAAATATATTTTAGACTTGGTAAAGGTGCATTTCTAGAAAAAAATTCATCTATAACACCATCTTTAATAAATACTGATCTTATTTCAATTCAAACAATTCCATCTTCTAATGTTCCAGATGAACAAGTAACAGTATCACCACAAATGAATAGAATTATTTCTACACGTTTACGTCAAACTGATAAACGTCTTCTACGTAAAACTCATTCAACTAATAATATCATTGAAAAGCAAGAAAAAAGTATGAACTTTAATCAATAATAATAATAATAAAACATTATTTATGAATTTATTTTTAGAAAAAACTAATGAAGAAACGGCTACAACAGTTTCTAAATCACCAACAGTAGTCTATCGTAATAAAAATGGTCAATTTGCTTCCTCACCAAATGGATCGAAATCAATAAAAACGGTAAAAAAAACTTCTTATAAACTATTAGAATCTAATATATTATTTAAGTTTAGTCTTCTCGAAGGAAAAAAACAAAACCTACGATTAATGCTTCATTACAATCATTTTCACCTACTTATCCTTTATCAACTTCAAACAAATTAACATCACGACAAAGTAGTACAAACTCACCGGTGACTATTAATCAAGATAAATCATCAACAACAACAATATCATCAATTAATTCTGATGACCCTGCTTCAAATTCTCCTTCATCAATAATAACAACTACAGTGAATTCAAATGTATGAAATCAACAAAGATCTCTTAAAAACAATATTGCTAACGAGGGAACATACTCAATTGTCCAATCACTTTTTTGATCGAGACTATATTCGGATGAGAGGCCGCGGTAATTAGTATAAAAGATTAAGAGGATTTGACTGTCTGAACCTTCGTTTTTGAGATATAGAATTTCGACTTGAAAGTTTCATTGATTTTTGAATCTTCTACTCTAACATATGAATACTGAAAAACCTTCCGATAAAAAAAGGATCGCCATGATTGAATGGGTATCTATAAGGTACTGTGCTCAAACCTCAATATCACTAGCTATGAAATGATCCTAGATAAGTCACTAACGATTGTTTACCTCGGATCACGCGTTCAATAATATTGTTGACTATATTGTGACATACAGCTACTCTTGTGACTAGCAATTGAGCGCAGGAACTCTGTGTCAGACTGGTCTTCTGTCCAAGGCTACAGCTAGTCATAGTTGTATGGAAGATATCAGGCTGCTGAATCTGTGACTAGACAGTACTCCATATCATAAGGTAGTCAAAAGGCAGGATAGTCTTTCTTCTTTCGGATAAAAAGAAAAGGACGACCATGCTTCTTATACTAATATTGTAGGATATCAGATACTTCAATCAGTGAAACTTTCACAATATGTCAGCGTTATTGAGAACTTCATTTCTACAAAGTTTCGAGTCGAAGTTCAAAATTGGATTTTTATGGTGATCTGAGGAGACCACAGTTTTCTATTAAAACATTGCAGTAAAAATTCGATAGCTCAGGAATAATGGTTCAGAACAGTTGAATCCTCTTAAGTTTTTTTTTTATACTATTCGCCATGGTCTCTCACTTGAGTATAGTTTCGATCAAAAAGCAATCTGACATTCGGGGACATTTGAGAATTCAGTAACAGGATGATGAAGAAATGTGTTCCAAAATAGATAGAATAAAACAACTTTCCTATGATTAGCAACAACAGCTACATTGTGTTTCACATTTTAATTTCATAACGAATTGCGTTAATAACTTTATTAATTTGTTTAGTTACCTACTATAACTACTCGACCATCTCGTCTTCTTTCACCTACATTATCAACATCTTCATCTTCTTCATTTTCATCATCTTCACCAACATATCGTAGAAGTCGTCAACGTACTTCATCACAATATTCATCATCATCAACATCATTATCAACAACTACACATTCAAATAATCCAAATTTTCTTATTTGGCGTCCAACAATTCGTTCAAGTCGTCATTCAAGTTCATCATCAATTAGTTCTCTATCATCAACTACTGATAGTGAACATAATAATTCTAATGAAATATCTCCACGACGAATTCTTCCAAAATTAACAATTCGTATGAAACCTGATCCATTTTCATTAGATGATGTTGAAAATATAAAATCATCAAAATCATCTATGGTTAACGTTAAACTTGATAATAAAAAACGACCGTTGATGGATACAACAATTCATGAAACACCATCATTACGTGCAAAAAAACGTCGAAAAACATAGAACAAAAGAAAAAGAAATATTTGTTCTTTACACATACGTATATATATAATGTGGCACGGCTCAGATGGTGTTTGTGTATATATATTGATTCGCTGTATTCATTTTATTGTGTGTTGTCGTTTGATTTCTATTGTGTTTTGTCATTAAACAGAAAAAGAAATCTCATATAAAGTTATTTATCTTGAATAAAGTCCATTTTAATGCTAAAAAATAAGTTAAAGTATAATGTAATTATTTATGAAACTATTGTTTTTGTCTTTCTAATACAAGAGTTTCATCAAACGATTTGTAAATTCACTAATATAAATAGATATGTTAAGAAGTTTCTCATCAATTATATATGATTTCATTCTTATTCCTCGTTAGAAAGAGTAAAGTCTCCATTACAAAGTTATATAAAAATATTTCATTCAAAATATTTACTGAAGGCTGAAAAAGTTTAAAGAGCATGTTTGACTGGAGAAGTTTCTCGGAGTGCTTCCGAAATAGAGATGTGACGAGTAAGCTTTTTTCGTACCCTGACTGAATAAAATTTTCTTACCATGGCCTTATTCTACCCAGTACATCTCTATTCTAGAATTTAGAAGAAAACCCTCCATCCACTAAGAAAGTTGGTCTTATTTTTTGTATTGTATCGAGTTTTGTAGTGTTATTAGAGGACATTCTGAACATATAAAAATAAAATTTTCTTAGGTGTCAATTGAGTTCGAAATCGACATTTCTCTCTAATAACCTTTACTAGCAAAAAGTAGGCATAATTAATAAGTGATTTCGAAAAATAAGATTTTTTCCAGCAATTAAAGTTAATGAAATTCCATACTTTTTGTTGTATTTGAGTTTAGTGAGTCGTCTACAAAAGCACATAATATCAAACAGAATATTAGACACTATGATAAAACATTTTTTGGTGTTGTAGAGAGAACATGAAATTTTTAATAAAACTATTTGCCTTGGAACCTACGATTTTGTAACTCGAATGTTTTGATATTACTAGAAAAAAGCACATCATTTTGGTTATTTTCACACATAATGTACCTAAGAAATTTCAAAACTCGAGTGCAAGATAAATCGATCAAATGCACTTCTCATCATTGATTTTGTATGAAGTTGCAAAGTTCTTTTTAAGTCAAACATGTTCCTAAAACTTTTCAGCCCTCGGTAAGTATTTTGAACGAAAACTTTTTACCCATCTTTGTGTACGAGAAACTTTACTCTTTCTAATAAGAATACTAGCAAGTCTTCACAGCAAATTGTTGTCATATTATATTGAAAACAAAACTTTAGCATTACATTGAAGGCAAAAGCTTTCTGTATGAAATTTTACAAGTTACCATCGATAGAGGGCGTTCGTATCCGAGTCGATCTATATGCATTTTATCTTATAATTTTTATTTATTAATTATGAAAAATAAAAATTCTTTTAATAGAATTTTTAAAATATTCTAAATTTTATAGAAATGAAATATAAGATCGACATCGATTGGATGTTTACATTTTTCCTTGTTCACTACTACAAATTTAGATATAGATGAGTATTTTACAAATTATTCAATGGTCCAAGTCAAAGAGAAAACTATTATGATATTTTGATGAATCATTTTTTTTTTATTGACGTCACGTGAATTCATGAAATAAATTGTGACTCAATTAACATTCATTATCGAACTATTTATATTGATGTTCGTATAACAGTTATCAACATCAGATTTATATCTATACTAGAACAATCTCAATATTCCTTTATCTCTTTTTTCAGAAGAATTTCTTAGAAGTATAAAAAATATATTTATTATAAAATTAATAATATTGATTAGACCAATCGGATACAAGTTAATTTGGTATGTTTATCTTGTGCAAATTATCTATTGCATGTATATAATTCTGAATCATACAAAAAACGAAGGTTATAAAATTAGAATTCGATAAATATTAGATGCTTCTATACGATACATGCACCTTCACTCTGTGATGTGTGTGCGTGTGGGTGGGTGCCCAGGGGTAATGTGCATTGTGTAATATTATTTTTAATTATACATGATAAATATTTGTTTGTGTAGGTAGTGAACTTTTTGCATACATAACGTTAAGAATAATATGAATAAAAATCAATCTATTTTCGTCTATGTTAGGATGAATCATGGTAAACACAGTTCATTTGTTGAAATGATTCGTAATTGAGATGATATTTTATATATAAAACATTTTCTATTTAGAAAAAAACGAGCTAAAAAATATAACCATACTCCTAATTTCAAGACAATTTTGACGATGATCTCTATAATAATCAAGTCATAATTGACTGTTACTTTTAGAGCACGACACGTTGGGTAGGTCTTAAGTTCGAGATCCCTCCAACGCGCTCTACTCTCGATTGTGTTAGGCATAGCCTTGCATATTTTTTTATGTTTATGTTTTTCTGATCGTGTATTTCCGAATTTTCAAATGAGCTTCATTGTAGCCAATTGCTTGGGTTTTTTTTTGAGTTTAGCTATTTTATTACTATATTGAAGGAAAAAGCACTTCTATAAATCGATGAACGCTTTTCGCGAGGTATTGAACTTATCACCTTTTTTCTCTGTATAAAAAGTAAGAATTTAAAAAAAAAGAATAAATCTATAGAATGAGAAGTCGCAGAAAATTTTCGGTTGCTAAATGATTTGAACTTGATCTTTATCCCGAAAAACATCATAGTATAGAATTGAGAATATTAGCATAGTCTCTCCACCATAATCTCAATATATTTTGTTACTTTCATATGATTTGAGTGCATTTACTTTAAGGTAATATATCATATACTTGACTATAGAAAAAGAACGTTACATTTATTCTTTATGTCAAGGTATTTTAATAGGTAGAAGAAAGAGATAAATTGTTTAGAGTTTATTTATAATCTTTTTTTTTCTCGAATCTTCTCACGTCAATAATTAACAAACTAAAATGAGACTAAACATGAATATTCCAGTTGATATTCTGTTGATTTCTTTTTCTTTAATGCTAACTTGAGTAGGTTGAAGAAGTTGCTTTCTTTTGGTTTTTTATTTCGTTTGTTGTGTTATGATCAATTAATATACAAAAGAAAAGCAAAGGTATTACTTTTATTGTTTCGTTTCAGATAAAATAATCATTTATTTGCTTTTTTTTTTCTGAGCTCAATTCTTATTTAATTTTAAACAAAATGAGTCAGAATAATGTATCAGACGCTTTTTTGCAACAAGTTTTTCGAAAGTAAGTTCTTTTTTTTTCTTTGTTTACAACAAATAATTATTCAATAATGAAATCATTTATTTAGGGTAGATGCTGATGGATCAGGTTCAATATCATCAAATGAACTTCAAGCAGCTCTTTCAAACGGCACATGGAGTCCATTTAATCCTGTATGAAATTTTCTATTAACAAAAAAAGAAAAACTCAGTGATTTATTCTAATAAAAAAACATTTTTTTGTTTTCTTATTTTCTAGGAGACTGTTCGAATGATGATTGGTAAGTTACAAAAACAAAAAAAAAAAAAACCATTTATCAAAAATTATATATTCTAATAACAATGGTGATAAGTAAAGTATATAATAGAGAGTAGTATGATAAATTATTTTCAGGAATATTTGATCATGATAATTCATCAACAATTGATTTTAATGAATTTAAAGCTTTATGGAATTTTATAACACAATGGGAAAAAGTATTTCGTGGTTTTGATGAAGATCAAAGTGGTTCGATTGATAAAAATGAATTGCGAAAAGCTTTAACAACATTTGGTAATAAAAAATAAAAATACAAAAAAGAATGATTTGATAATATTTGCTTACATTTATATTTTGATCGATAATCAGAGATTGAAGAATTTCCTTTTGTGTTGTTTTGTTTTGAGAAACGGAAGAAAATTATTCTATTGCTTGTTCATTTACTTGCATAGGGATGTTTGATCATGATGGATCATCAACAATTGATTATCAAGAATTTCGTGCTCTTTGGTCATATGTTACTGAATGGGAAAAATGTTTCAGGTTTTTCTTTTGAATAACAAAAAACAAAAGAAATTGAAAATATCATGAATTTTAGGAAATTCGATTTGGATGGTAGTGGTTCTATTGATAAACACGAGCTCAAAACAGCATTGAGCTCGTTTGGTATGTTCGTGTTTTTTTTGTAGATATCTTATGGTGTAGGATATTACATTAAACCTATAAGAATTTTTTGTCTATCAATGCTTATTATCACGGTTTATTATATTACTTAAGCATGCATGTATAAGACTTAATCTTTTGCTTGCATTATTATTCCCTTTTTCTAGCTATTTTACGATTGTCGATCAATATAAATGCATGCAATACATTCATTCTTTTCATTTTCAATATTGTTTTTTTTTTTTGTAAACTATTTCACTAATTCAATTTTTTGATCTATTTTTCTAGGTTATCGTCTATCAGATCGTTTCTATGATTTACTTATTAGAAAATTTGATCGAACTGGTCGTGGTACAGTTGCATTTGATGATTTCATTCAAGCTTGTGTATCAATTCAAACATTAACAAATGCTTTTCGTCAACACGATCGTTTACAAAATGGAGAAATAACAATTAATTATGAAGATTTCTTATTACTTGTCTTTTCACTTAAAATGTAAATAAATCATCGAGTAAACATATAATACTTGCGTTTCTATGTTTTCATCATTCCCAAAATTTTTGTTTCTTGCTTACTCTCACATATAATGTCAAAAGAAAGAAAAAAAATATCTTAATAACTATGAACACTTTTGTTGTCTTCTTCTGCACATATGAATTGATTTTTCTTTGTTTTTCTTTTTGTTTTCTTTTTTCTTACTTAGGCGACTCAATCCAAATTAGTATTGAACATATACGCAAGACTTTGATTATGATTTTTTTGTTTTTTTGCACTTCCATTTGGTTTTTTTTTTGTCGTTTATTTTTGATTGTGATCGGCGAATCTCAGTTGTTCCATCTTTTTCTTGTTTTTTGGTTTTCTTATTGATTCCATATAT